AGGACGCGTACACTCCTGTCTCAAACTATGTTCATAGCAACCTTTACATGCAACACTGCGCAAACTGTCTCACGCTTTCTGGTGGGTTTAAAGTATAACAAAAGACAAGCAGCGTTACACTGCTGATATAATATGCCACTGAAGTACCCGAGAACAGAGTCAGACCAACCAACCTGGCTAGTGCTGGCCCAGGTGAAGTGGTTACCGCTGTCAGTTGTTTGTTATTTTCCTTTGCCAGAGGTTAATGCCCTTTTCTAACAAAAGCTTTTTCTTCCTTTTGCTCTCCTCCCTTACTTCCTTTGCCTTTTTCCCCCTTTGCCTTTATTTCCTTTTCCTTTTCCTTTTCCTTTTCCTTTTCCTTTTCCTTTCTCCATCATTTCACTAAATTGGGTTAGAAAGCAGGCACAGTGAAAATGACAGGGCTAAGGAACAAATAACCTTTGACAGGGCTGCCAGTGAGATAGAGACATCCAATGGGGAGCAGTAAATATTTCAATCCGGGTGATGGTGAGGATGAGCGGGTCAGTCTGTCTAGCCGTGCCTTGTGCCCTGATGAAGTCCACAGGAGTCAGGCACGTTGAGGAAGGATGACTGCAGTGGGATGGAGAGGCAGGAGGGGGCTGCAAGGACGAGCAGGGGAATGGAAAGCCTCACGTACGGAAGGAAGCTCATAGACACAGGTCTGGTTAGTGTGCAGCAAATACAGACGAGGAGGAAAGAGGATGGTTCTTCATTAATACATTGGGAATGAAAACCAGGAAAACTTAATGGATAGGATAAGAGTTGCTTAAAAACAAGTGGGTATAAAATTCCTGTGAATCAGTTCAGGCTAGACATCAGGCAGCAGTTTCTAAAGAGCGAAGCAAGCAAGGCTCTGTAGAGCCCCTCAGCAGTTTTTTTGGTTACAGCAGCCAGCCAAGCGTTCAGCCTAGCTGGGCGCATTTGTGGGAAAGCAATGCTGAGGCTGCTCCGCATCTCAGGCCGCCCCTCTTAGCCTCTGTCTGCACCACCGTGCAGGTCCCCGTGGCAGGAGCTCACAGCTATGCACGAGATGCCACATGGGGCACAGGGGCAGGAGCAGCACTGTTTGGGAACGGCAATGGTACGATCGAGGGATAAAATCCCCACAGGCTGTGGAATGTGTGTGTGGGGAAAATGCTAGAGGTGGAGGATGACACCAGAAGTGAAGAAGCTGGTGTGAGGGAGATGCAGCAGGTTTTGTTCTCATGTCCTAATCAAGTCTGAGCTGCGTGTTATTAAGCAGACATGATGCGACATTAAGAGTGTTCAGCCATTGCAGATAATCAGGCCAGCCAAGTTCAGACTTAAGAGTGTGTGAGAAAGGAGGCCACGCGAAGAAAAGAGTTGCAGCGCAGCCTCGTCAGTGTTTCAATTTATTTACTCTGAAGCATTTGCAAATGAGCATTTTCCTGGGGCTTCAGAACCTTTGGCAGGGCTGAGGTGGCAATGATCAACTGAGAACAGTAAGCATTTCAACCCAGATCAGCATCACCAGCTCTCTAGATATAAAAATAATTAATTTGGTTTCATACATGAAGCTTAGTACAAATACAAAATGTCAGGGGCCATCCACACTTGAAAGCTCCTTTGGATTAAGGCTGTGTGGGAATTTACACTCCCTGGGCTCTGCTTGAATACTTGAAGTACAGTTGACTTTTACTCCAGGAAAGACAGTTTTTCATGACTTGGCTTCATACATTTCCAAAGAGGGGAGCATCCACACATGGAATCACTCTGAAGTAACTAACTGCCCACATAGGCAAGCCCTAGCAGCTAACGCTGGAAGCAAATACTTCCAGTGCTCACGCACGGAGCCTACAAGCACTTGCTCACATACTCAGTTTCATGCAGCTGAATGTATCTATCAGGTTTTGTAGGGTTGCTGGTGCACATGCCAAAATATTTACAGGGTTGGGGCCCTGCTTTGTAGAAAGAGACGCGTGCTGTGCCCCAGAGTACCAGCTCAGAGAAAAATACGAATTCCTGGATTGAATGCTCGTGTATCCCATCATCGCCCCCATCTCCCTGATGCCATTCCAGCTGGCGCTCTCGTGCTCCCAGGTAACTCACACGCGCTCCCTCGCACACAAACTCTACCGCACCCCTTCCCCCTGCGAAAAAAGTCAGCCAGCTGTTCCAAAATTCAGACATTTCATTAACACAGTTTACCGGCTGATACTGCCAAGCAAAACAGAGACAATTAATAATAATCAGGACTGAAGGGTCTGAGACAGCTTATGAGTAAAGGATTGTATTAGTTGTTTAAAAAGGACAAACCGGCTCCTGCCTGGAGTGATAGGGAACAAAGGCGGTGATGTATAACCGGGGAGGAGAGAGACTCTCCCCGTGGCTTTTGCAGATTACTGCCTGACTGACGGGAGCGGCAGGAGCAAATACCCCTTTTCATTTGCTCAGCCTGCTGGAGAAGAATAGCAGTGCTTGCCAATGAAGCTGCAGCTGTGCTCCAGCTCCTTTTAATCACTGTGTATGACTGAGGGTTAATTAGCTGCCATTCTCACTGCTATTTGTTGTTCTAATGAAGATTTGCATAAATGTAAGACTAGGGGGTAACTGATACTTGATTTTTCCCTCCAGAGCGGCTGGGGGTGGAAAACTCACCCATCCCAAGTGTTTATGTTTGTGGGAGATTCAGTGTTGCCTTTCCATTTGACCTGATCTGCTTCTGGCTGATGAATGGTGAACAAAGAGTTCAGAGTTGCTTATCAAATCGAGACCCCTGTTGGGTTTCTGCCTTTAGAAAGGGGCAGACTAGTTAGATGAAGAGAGGACAGAAGGATTAGAAGATTACTCCCAGCTGACAGAGAGCAAAATACATACACGTGCATTTCTGTATCTATATATGTACATATATATGTGATATATTTCAGTGAGATGTATCTCAGCGATATATATATCAGTGATGTATATCTCTATCTATCTACCTATCTATCTATCTATCTACCTACCATGTTCAATCTGGATGGCGTGGAACCAGTAATTTGTTGATGATAAGATGTAAAAAATGAATGGGTCAAGCAGTACAACCAGAATGGGCTGTAGCATATTAGGCAATATACTGAAAAGTAAGAACTTGTAAGTTTTTGCAAAAGCCTTCTGTTGTACATCACTAACATTCAAAGTTCACTTATTATAAAAAAAGTATCTAACAAGAAACAGGCAATCTCAAAGGAAGGCAAAAATGACCCAGTGGTTCACATCTACTTGCCATCAGCTCCTTGTAAGAGGGGAATTCACAATACAAATTAAGAAATTGGATTCATTCCTCAAAAAATCATAGGAAAAATTTAACATGAAGCAGTAACAAAATTCAAACTACTTTGTAATTAAAGAGAACATTTGGAAATGAAAGATCATAAAATTGTTTTATTTACTATGGTCATGCCAATGCTTATAGCTACCAACTGAAAGAAACTGAAGGGAAGAATAACCTCCTGGTTTTAGTATGTTAACATGTTGCATACGGTAATATATTATGGGTAACTGTTTTCAATGTTCCTCTTACACACTTGGTCAGCTAAAACTGTTGTTTGATAGCATCTGTGAAATAGTCTAAGGGAAAAAAAAAAGATTGAGAGGGCAGAGGTAGTAGATTTCTAAATTTCAAATCGCTACTGGAAAGTGGCCAGCTTTCAAGTTGACTGTATCCCTCCAAGGAGAGGTGACCACAAATGAGCGCATACTTATTGCCAGTTTCTCAATCCCAAGGCAGCTCTGCAGAGTCTCTAGCTCTTTACGTGGTCTCCAAGACATATGAGCAAATACTCATTTGTTTTTCTTTAAGCTTCTGTCATCCATCCGCCCAACTTCCCATAGGCACCTCTGCATATTTTGGGGTAGACACTAGCAGAAGTCAATCTTTCAGAGACACAAGCAGAGAGCATCTGACACATCTGAAATAAATGTGCCTGAAATGGTAACACAGGGCTCGTTTACCACTCCAGCTCTTAGCTGGAAGGAACACCACGGATTTTAACACCATATACAGCAACAAACCCACATGAAAATAAAAGCAGTCAATTGCATTTTTGCTCACTTTCACCTTTTTTTGGGCTTGGAAATAATTCAGTCTTCTATTACAGCTTTAGACTGAGCCCTTGATTACACAAGAATCACACATTCTGCCCTTTGCAAAGCAATTTTTAGCCTTTTGGTTGGGGAGAAAAGTTTAAAACCAGGAAACCTAAAGGATTAAAAACTAGATGGCAAATTAAAAAAAAATATTGAAGTGTACAATAAAAAATAAACCAGCAACAACCCTCACAACGTGTAAACAGATAACTTAATTTTTCTTTAATGATTCTTTAATAATTTCTATATACTACCATTTTCCAAGGCTGCAGTCAGAATCATTCCTTGGTAAATAGGGTAAGAGGAAGTGGAAATTACAGATCTAGTGGTCAATGGCAGAAAACAAATCTAAAAGAGCTGAGGGAAGAGGTTAAGTGCTATGCTAGTTAATAAGAATGACAGCTTGCTTTGAATACTCATACTGGCTGTCCAGGATATTGAATAAACCTCATTTAAATTAATTTTCATTATTTGTAGAGTCTGTGTTAGACATCTATCATTGTCAGTACTATTAATATTCTTTTCAGAGACCATATTATCAGCATATTTAAATGAAAGCTTTCCTTTTCAATATTTATTAACTCATTAATATTTCTTGGTACTAATATCCTGGTTGTAATATCCAAATTAGTGCCTACTACGAGGCATTTTCTACTGATTAGACTTTCTGAATTAAAAGATTTTTATTCTCAAATACTGAAAATGCACTTGGGCTCCTGAAATTGTGCTTTCTTTCTATACCATGTCTTAATTTAAATGAATGGCATTTAAAATTTACATTTTTGTATTTTTTTAGTAGGGAGCAGTAAAACAGCGCACTGACCATGTACTAGTAGCTGACCGAATATGAACTGTGAATGAACGCGGATGTGAAAGTTAATTTGTCTTACCCGGGTTGCAGTCTGTGAGGAGGGAGCAGATGGAGAGGAGAACTTTAGAAATGGTTAATGCTGGACTCCAGTTGTCTTTTAAAATGTCCAGGCAGATGACGCCTTGGCTGTTAATATTACAGTGGTAGATTCTTGTCCGAAATGTCACCTGGAAAAGACAGCATGTCTAAGTACAATGGTATTCAAGCCAATAATTACATGATTATTAAGCAATTAAAAAATTACACAAACTAACATTCTGCTTTCCTGGTTGAAATGACAGTACTCTGCTACTGTCAGTTAAAGACTGGGCAAGATAGGGATATTCATAAGAAAACAAAGAAAATAAAGTCTGCCTCTTCCACCTGTGGCCAGCGGGGGAACTGGTTTGGGCAAGGTGAGAATGGGACACATTTCCTAAGCTGCTTCTTGCCTTGGTCTCACTGATTTTGTTATTTTTTTATGGGGCCAAAAAAAGCTATTCCAGCCCCTGATCTGGACAACGTCCATAACTCAGGCCCACAGCTACTTCGTGCTTTGAAGGGAAGCAGAAGATGACAGATTCTTCTTCTGCTGTCGTCATCTGTTCACTGTTTGACCCAATAGACTAAGCTGGAAAAAAAACGTGGAAGCATCACATCAGTGACTCCTGGAAAAAGTAAAGTGAAATATCTTTGAGAAAGCTTGCTCAAATAAAATGCTTTTATTTCCAAATTTTAAGTTACAGTTGAATCAGTAGAATTGCTACAAACACCTTTTGCGTTTTTTTTTTTAGTAGTTGATTTTGAGGATTTCCATATCCATTTTATATTGTCTCCCAGGTGATCCTATATGTAACAAACCAAGGGGGAGATCACTTCTTTTAGCCTAGAATGATGTGCTCCTGCTTCAAGTTGAAGATACAGGCCTTTCATTTTAAAAGAAGTTCAGCTATGAAAGTCCTCTTCGTGGTTCAGAACAAATCCTGGGTCTATTGGATGAGAAGGGACAATGCAAAAAACTACCCCTTGGGGGTCTCCATCAAGGACTAATTTCTCCATCAGTTCTACCCAAATGACAAGCCAAGCCAGATGGTTTTAATGACATGTTCACAACATCTCAGATTAAGACATACTATTTCAGTGGTCCACTTCATCAGCAATAACCCTGCTAACAGAGGGGCTGATTAGGCAGGAGACAACAGCAGGCAAAGCACACCCCCATTTAAGCAAGCTGTGCTTTTCACCAGAGTTGGACAGTGCTAATAACTGGGAGTGCTTAGGCACCTATCCCTGCTCTACCCCACAGAGAAACCTGCTTCTGGAGAGTCATGGAAAGGGATGACAGGCATGCTCCTGTTCTGACCTTACTCAAAATCAGAAAGCTCAGTGATTTCAGTGGGATTGAGATCAGGCTGCTTATCAGTAAGCAGAAGAGAGGATACAAGTGGAATAACACAGTACCTGGTTTACTTCCATTAAAAAAAAATCATTCTCTAAGACACTGAAAAATTCTGCCCCTTTGGATTAAATCAAGTGGCCTTGGCAAAATAATGGAAAGAAAAGGTAGTAGATTTCTGGTATTAAACCGCTACATTCAACAAGAAATACTCTTTTTCTTGTACGTACTTTTCCGCATAAATCTGGGAAAGCACTTTTGGGCCCAGTGTCATGCACCAGTGAGTTCTGTAACAAAGACCTCAACAAAGCAAGTTCATCCGTTTTTAAATGCATCTATGTCTAAAGGTATTGCCTATTACTGGGATAATTTATAGTTTGCCACTCCATACCCTATGTATTTGTAGGTTCTTTCCTCCTCCCCAACCCCCACTTGTGGTTTTGCTTATTGTTTTGCAGCCTAAAAGTGCTTCACTTCTGGGACTTTTATGAGAATTTAAAATATTTCTGGCACAATGAGCTCAATTCATACAAACAGATGATCTATTTTTTTCCCCTCCTTAGAAGTCCAAGCACGTTCAGCATTCGGAGTGAAGGAAGTCTCTTGCAAGATCAAGAAAATAGTATTTAGTGATAAAATGAAATGTTTGTCTACAAAGGGAAGCTGTTTTGAACAAGGAAGGTTACATAGAAGTGTTAAACTACCTTATATAAACTGCACGTCAAAAGTGTCCATAAAGGGAGCTGGTGTGGAGGAGCATCCTGTGAATTGTAGGTCAGTGTTCATTAAGTCCCGGGACAGATTAACTCCAGGCATTCTTATACTTGAGATATAAGTGAATCAGGGAATGCTTCCTACCAGGATGTCCCACAACTTGGGCAAACACTTTAGCACCTGCTTAATGTTAAGCATTGTGTGCTTACTTCTCAGTACATTGCTGGAATAAAGTTTTTGCTTAATTGTTTTTCCTGAACAAAGACGCTTTCCTGTGCTTCCGTGATGAAAAATTTAAGGACTTTATTCAGTGGTATCTGTGTACATCGAGTAATAAAGACATCTGTGGTCTCACCGAATGTGGAAACACACTGATTCCATTGCACAGATTAAATTATACTCTCTAAACTACTCATAGACGGGTCAGTCTGAGCTTGTAGCCTATTTAAGAGAAGGCCATCAATTTGAGCCTGTATTTTAATGTTTTGCCATCAGCTGAAAGGACAGACTCGTTGCCACATGTTCCCCTGACTTAGCTGCTTTTGAATCATTTGAAGTAGGGACCCTGGGAATTTGGCAGGATTCAGAGAGGCACTGGGATGGAACGGAGGTAGTACATGTCTTTCATAAACTGTTCAACACTCCATTGCTGTCTTAGGCTACCTTAGGTGGATAAATGCACGTGGGACTACACCCGTTTGTAGTTGCAAGGCTACTTGTAGCAAACACGAGGACCTGAAATGTAGCATTTTTTCCCTATGAGCACATCTTAAATCCATGACACTGAGGAAGGCGCCCACTCGCAAGATAAGGCTTGCTGCTTATCATTGACAAATATGTCACCGACTCGCCAGACATGCCACTGCACTTTAAAATGCCTGCCTAAGTACACAGAGACGTTTTAATGACAAAAAAATATCAAAGCTTTCAGAATTTCAAAAGAAGCTGTATTAATGACAGCCTTAACATGCTGGGAACTGCGGACTGACGGTGGCAGGGAACGGTGTTCTTATCCCAGAGCAGCATACAGTACAACTGGGATGACATACTGCTTTCCTCATCTAGGTATTGCCTCAAATTGCAGCTAATGTGGGAAATGCTGACATGTAACTTCCTGGATGTTGTGTTTACCATACCCACATTTCAAAGTTATGCAGGGTCGTTCCTATTATATGTGCAGAGAGAAACCAAGTGATAATACCATTCCAGGGGAACTACATTTTCTTTATTATGGTCATATTTTTACCTTTGATGCCACTTAAATGGTGCCTGTAAATGGTACACTCTAATTCTATTTATCCCCTAATGAAAACAACTAAACAATTCCATGCAGGGGCTCAAGGGAGTGTGTGGGTCTATAGGAGAAGTTATCCTCAGACAACTGAATGGTAGGGGAGTAATTTATCTTTTTTTTTTGAACGATAGGTGTCCTCTATGGATTTACTCGCTTTGATTCTACGGTTTTAAGAGGGTATCTCATTTTTGTTGAATAAAAGTGCAGGTCAGAAAAAATGTGAATTACAGGAAATAGGGAAAAATGGGACTATCATCTGAGAACTGTAAGAGTACTATAAATAAGCTTTTGAAAGGTAATGATAAGGAATTTCTATTCAATCAGTTTTGGAAGTAAACAATAATAAACCCATCTGTTTATCTACTGCTGAATGCCAAACACTTCTGAATACTGTAAAACAGAATTAAACAAATAAAAAACCCCTTTATATAGTCTCAAAGAAGAAAATGAGGTTATCTATTCAAAAGGGGAAGAAAAAATGATCTGAGAGGAAAGAAGTATATGTAAAGCTATAGCTGGCTGTTCACTGAATAAGTTTTAGGACCGAAAATAGACCGTTTATAAAATCTGGGAAGAGTGAAATAAGATGGATTTCAGTTGAGTGATTCGAGGCAACTGGTTGTAGGCAAGATAAATCACTCCTGGATCTCAGAGCGATTTTGAACACCAGTTTTCCAGCATGATGTAGCCCTAAAATCATTCACTATCTCTCTTTGCCCCCTAATGTTCCTATTTTAGGTCTGGACCTAAGCAGCCCCTGTGGCATTGGCATCTCTGTGTGTGACTTGTTTAACCTTCCCTGTGAGAGGCAGAGATGGGCACGGAAAGGCCCCGGTGGCTCTGAAAGGGCTGGTCCCACAAATACATCTCAGGCACTTTCAGACTCCGTTGAATTCGGTCGTAATTCTCTTAAAAAATGTATCGGGAGGAAGAAATGATTCTCCAGTTTTGCATATTAGCACGTAAGGGGCTACAGCGTGTGCTCAGGAACTGCCTTCTTCAGCCTGTTTGGGTTCAAACCCTCCCCTTCCATTCCTCATTCCTTCCACTGAAGCCTGGTGACGGTGCAGGGAGAGATGAAAGATTCCCAGAGTCAACAGGAGAATAAACAAAAACAACCCCCTTTTGCTCGGCCAAGACTGGAAGCAGGGCTGAGATCCCAGGGCTCTCATTCCCACAGGTCTGGGAAGTTCCTTTCAAGCTCTTTCATTTCTTACAAGGGTGCAATCCTGCATGCCTGCCTGAGATGAAACTTCTGTCTTCCTCAAGATATTCCCCCGGAGTTCTGTTTTAATAAAACTGCGGTGGCACTACCTGAAGTCGAAGAAGTTGTACTGCATACAGAAAAGGTTATATATATATTAAAAAATATGATGCCCTTTATGATGATGTTCATGGAGCTCAGGAGGGAGTAAGTAGTTCCCATTTCAGTTTGTCAGATTTTATGAGCAATAGATTTGTCTGCTCGAATAGAGAGAATAATAAAAACAGGATCAGGCCTACACTCTTTAGTCATACTAGAAAAATACTATAAAACAACCTAAATGAAAAATATCTATAGCTCTGAGTGACACAATGTTCATGCAATAGCCTTTACATTAATTAACATCCTTAAATTCCTTACAAAGTGCACTTCATTTTATCTATATCCAGCACTAAGGCTGCCTTTCTAAGACAGGGTGATCCATCTCTGGTTTGTAACTACAGATTTGTAGCATGCACATGAACAATTGTTGAGATACTTAATGGATTATCACATAAAGTGCATAATAAATGACTGAGCA